TGCTGTATAATGCAGCACAATATCACCGCTTGGAGAAGATGGATATCCAGGGCGGGTGCGGAGGAATGGGGAGGGGCGAGAACAGCGAGTGAAGGGGGTGAGGCAAGGACAGGGAAATAACGATGGAGTACCTCAAAGTTTGATGTAAAAACGCATGATCGCACCGGCTCGCCTGGTGCGTTCCAACCTGGGTTGCTTATATGCAAATTGCAAAAACGCATATTATGACGACCCATGGTGTGCGTGTGTACGTGTTTGTGTGTGCATGTGTGTGTATGCGTCTGTCTGGGTATTTCAACTCAGCAAGCTCCGGCGCCAAAATTATGCCAAAAGCTTCCCTAGTTAAGTGCCACTCCAGGACGGCGGCACCAATTCTCACGCAAGTCTGGGCCCTGCTTACGAAAGGATGAAAGTTTTGGCTGGAAAATCGCTAACTCGAGAACCAGAAAAGCTTGAAAGCTGAAATTATGAGGTAATGTTCTCCGTCCATCTGGAACTCAAAGATTTTGAATTCAGCCCCCAGGCATACGCGTTTCCCGCGTACGGTCCGTGAAGGTTCCTGGTACGAAAATCGCTAATTTGGGAACCAGGGAAGCTGGGAGGCTGAAATTTTAAGGGGAAGTTTCCAGTCTCCATGAAAGCTAAAAATACCAAATTTAGCTACAGGTGTGCATGTTTCTCATGTACGGCCTCGTGAAAATTTTTGGCGTGAAGAATTGCTAACTTGGGGACCAGAAAAGCTGGGAGGGTGAAATTTTTAGGTAATGTTCTCAGCCCATGTACAACTTAAATTTTATGAAATCCATGCCCCAGGCACGCGTAATTGTCACATACGGCCCCATGAAACTTTTCGGCGGAAAAATGGCTTATTCGGAAACCAGGAAAGCTGCGAGGCCAAAATTTTTAGGAAATGTTCCCTTTCCTATTACCGCATAGATAATTAACTTCTCGAACTTCAAGGAACAGTATCTCACACATTTCTAGCTACTGGGTTTCCAAGCGACCTCACTATAGCACAAAATACCGCAAAAACGCATGATCGCACGGGCTCACACAGTGCGCGTCGCCAGTGATTTTACGTTTACTGATCTGCACTTGGACAGCAAATGTTCTAGTAAAACCAGAACCCAAGCATATGTGAGCGATAATTTTAAAAATGCATGATTACACATGGGCTAGTAGCACTATCTAACAGTTTCAGCTTTTCAGCATCTCTGGTGCTGAGTTGAAAATGGGCATGTATGTCATACACAAAATTCTTGCATCTGCGTAAAAGTGCAAAAACGCATTAAAACTAAATTTCAATAGCGACAAATGAAAAAAAAAAATGACCCACGCAAAATAATGTTAACACGGTTATTTTAATTTAGACGCTGCAGCTCAGCAACGCACTCGGAATCGTCATCGTTACGCGTATTGGAATCAGCTCGACGTAGTAGCGTCAGCACAACAATAAGCTTATCCAGAGCAAGGGACAGACGTGGACGCTTGGATCGTAATAGGTAATCGTGAACTTTTTCCTCGATTAGTACAGTGAAATAGGGTACTGGTATAAAAGTGGCTGAGAGATTACTTTGTTACTAAATGTCTCTCAGAATGATAAAGGATTTCTTCTTAGCAAATTCTTAAGCCAGAATGAATAGCTTCTGGATGCCGTCTGCTGTGATGAGATGCCATCCAGAAACTTAACGCGTTTGTTTCTGCAGGCAAGCAGTGAGGGCTAGCACTATTTCATCAAAATTGTTACAGGAGTGATCCATCACTAACGAATTCCTCTGAAGTTCTTTCAACTCGCGATACACGCAGTGGTTCGGTAACCGGACTACCTGGGCAGGCTGTCAGCGAATTAACGAAACAGTTTTTTCCCGAGGTTTAAAATTATCGCATTCATGAGTTGAAAAATTAAAACATACCTAAAAATCAAACATGCCTTATCTAAAGGTGAAAAATTAGTGAGAAACAGAGACACTGCTGAGATCTGGATGAACGAACCGTTTAAAACTTCCCGATTAAAGTTGCGCCACTTCGCATTTTATTAATTTTCCACTTAATAGCATTTGAATTACTGGTCGACTTATCTTGTCGTTCGCGTAACACCGGTTAGCTGTTTTCAGCTAATTCTGGTTCTCGGATCACTAAGAATCTTGCTGCTCTAATGCAGTGCCACTTTTTCAGCTTAGAGGTAAACAAAATGCGCTTCTGAATATCCTTCTGCAAAAGTTGTAGATTAGAGTCTGGCTTGGCTTTCCAAGAAAGCAGGTTAAACAGACTTGCTCCCTGCAGTAATACAAATTCGCTTACTTTGTTCTTTTTATGCGTTTTTTGCAGCTATGCAGTGCGAAAAACGCATATTGGTGAGGTGTTGTTTGTGTGTGTGTCTGTGTGTCTGTGTGTCCGTGTGTGCGTCTGTCATGGTTTTTCATCTCAAGACCTACAAAAGCTACAAGGCTGAAACTTTGGAAACTTAATCTACATGCACGTACGGGCTCCAATCCCCAAAATTGGCGCCAGTACCCGCGTGGTACCCGCGTACGGGCCCGCCAGAATTTTTTTCGGGTAAGTTCATAACTCGGGTATCTGAGAAGCTAGAATGCTGAAATCTTAGGAGGATGTTCCCCGTCTAAGTGGGTATTAGTGAGCTCAAACCCAGCCCCCGGGTAAATGTGGTACCTGCGTACGTGACCGCA